CTAAGCAATGAGGATGGAATCATGAGAGGAGATATTTCTTTTGATCATTGCTCCCCCCCTCACTGTATATCCCAATCCCTAGTCATGACACCTACAAATGACACGGTGAAAAACAGCTCCTGAATTCCATAGAGAAGACATGGCTGGATCTATTCCCCACAAACAAAACACTCCACTTACTTTATTAAATACAGAAATGCAAACAGAAACCTGTGGGACTTTGTAGGAGCCTGTTAATGTTGACATTTGGATAGAGATGTTCTCAACAGCTGAATCAAGAAGAGCCAAAAGGTTGTCCTTCCTTCCACAGCTGTAGTTGGGAACATTGGCTTCTCCAGTAGAGAGAATATCCAACAAGGCATCTGAAGTGCCAAGGGTGTTATCATAGTTGTCATAGATGTTGTAGCCAAGAGTGAGATTGTGTAGTAGGTGGGGATTTATTTTAACCATCTCAATATTGAAAATCATGCGCAATATTCTTTTCATTCCATCAGGTAAGCTAATGTAAAACGATGTTAATATTAGGATCATTAATTGGAAAAATTAAACACTTTTAATCTATTTAATTCTCTTTTCCTCCACAAACTAACCAAGGCTTACGTGAATATCAATCCAAATCAGAGACAAATGAGTCACTCATCACTCTGCAATGTTGTGAATGTTCAGAAGATAGGATGGAGATGGTTTTCCAAAAGGACTAAAATTAAGAAATATACTATTATTTCTAGCCAACTAGTTTCAGCCCAGTAACCAAATTGCAGATTATTTCAGTCATTAAAACAAATACATAATGCATGAAAGAGGATTTTTAATAAGTGATTCACAAAAACTGTTCTATAGCATGTCATCCTCTATTCCTAAAAAAATAAGGAATTGAATCCCAATCTACAGTTACAAAAATATAGAAATGACCTGGCAGAGGAAACTACAACAATCACTACTTTCAAGAAAACTTCATATTCAAGTCATGAACTGAGGATTGAAGAGGAAAATAAAGTGGGTTTCTTTAATTTTTTATTTTCCCTTTAATTTGTATTTGAACCTCTCCTAGAAAATAAGACAAAAGTGAGAGGCTATGGAAATCAAAAGTATTCAAGAAATTAGTCAGCTCCTGCAATATAAGAGTAACTAGAAGAAGAAGGAGGAGGAGGAGGAGAAGGAGAAGAAGGTGTTAGACTTGCAAATGGAGGGAATGAAATTTCAATACAGTGAATGACTTACAACCGAATCTGACTAGAGGGAGCCACGTTGAAAGGTAATATTGCAGGTGTTATTGCTGATACAGAGACTACTACACCAATGAGAAGATCTCCTGGCCTATAATAGCTCCATGGCTTTCCTCCATCCTGGTGGTCCAAATTCAGTGGGCATTTCTTTCTAAGTTTCCCAGAGACTGACTGGGGCATCAGCAGCATCAGAAAAAGAAGCAGGAGGTCCATAATTCATGGGGTTGAATCAATCCCCTTCCTGTTTCTAAAGAACAATTGGAAGAATTAGAAGCAGTCACACAGGATGGAATATCCAATGGCTTTCCTGGTTCAAACAGAGACAAAGCAAGATTCACCTGGAAGAGGGAGAAAGTGCATTGAAGATCACAGCTACTGTCTGTCTTGTAACTTCAGGCACAAAAAGCATAACCTGTTGCATTTATCCTTTTCTAATACAAGATCCCTTCCATGTCACTTCAGTGTGATGTTTACATCAAAGGCAGTCACTGGAGGAGGAGGAGGAGGAGGAGAAGGAGGAGGAGGAGGAGGAGGAGGAGAGGTCTCAAGGCCTATGAGGTGATAATTACAGTGAGAAGCAACTTCTCCTTTTGGGATCTTGAACCTCTTCCATCTGATGAGGGGCAGTTGGAGACAAGCACAGATAGATCCCTTGAGGCAGTGTTGTGTAGTGTCACAGTCCTTCCTGTTAGGACATGTCCAGAAAGTGATGCTGCAACAACAGCCAGAACAATGACTTCTGCTGTCCTTCAATGTGGACTTTTGCCTCCAGAGACTGCTGAGGAGTTTGGTGCCACTCTACATTGGTGACCCTTAACTCTAGTGCTGCCTTTGCTCTAATGCCATGCAAGCAATCATTATCCTTGAACCCAACCTAATGTTAAGAATTTGGGATTTTCNAAGCAAATGGCAGCTAGGAAGCCCATGTAGCCAAGATTTACAATAAACATGGTGACAGAGCCTTCATTGCATTGGAGGATGATCTCTCCAGGCTGGGAGTGCAGGTCAGAATCAGGGAATGGGGGAGAAATTCCCAGCCACATGGCACAGATGATTATTTGGCCAGAAGAACAAGAAAGGATTGTGGAGTTGGTCAGCCTCTTCCCTAACCATCTCTTCACTTGGTTTCCTGGTTTTGAGGCCAGGAAGGCCAACACCACAGTGATCGTTTTGGCCAAGAGGGAAGAAATGGCAACTGAGAAGACAATACTGAAGATCATTTTTTGAAGAAGGCAGGTTGCTTGCCTTGGTTTTCCAAAGAAGAAAAATGTTGATAAGAAGCAAATCAGGAGGGAAACCAGGAGGATGTAAGAGAGGTCCCGGTTGTTGGCTTTGACAATGGGACTTTCTCGGTGTTTAATGAATATGATTAAAACAATACCTGTGATTATGAACAAGAACAGGGTAAAGGAGACTGTGATGATGCCCAAAGATTCTTCATAGGACAGGAAGGTTATTATTTTGGGGATACATTGGACATGATCTTTGTTCGGAAATTTATCATCTGGGCACATGGTGCATTCTTCAGTATCTGAGAAAACAGAAAGTAATATTTCATTTATACTTTCTTCTTTCACATTTCAACAAAGACTTTATTTGGGTGACAGCTGATACTGAGAGAAAGAAAATAATGGTAAGCAGAAATAGAAAATAATGGTAATAGATATAAAACATTGGTTTAGCTTCTCAGAGAAGAGCAACAAAGATGATTAGGGGACTGGAGGCTAAAACATATGAAGAACAGTTGGAGGAACTGGATATGTATAGTTTAATAAAAAGAAGGATAGCAGTGTTCCAATATCTTAGAGGCTGCCACAAAGAAGAGTTGAATGATATAGAATATAATATAAAAATATTTTACTATTGGAGATATTTGAGATGATGTAATGAAATGCTATGATTTCTTCTATGAATGCTAGTACCTGAGAGACCACCTCCTGCCGATTACCTCCCTTAGACCAATTAGATNAAATACAAATACAAATACAAAATAGATGCCTCATTTAGTTCCTCCTTTTTTTCTTGGGAAATATCAGATAGCAAAAAATGAACCTTTCTACTTAAAATCTGGAGGGATGAAATTGAGAAAAGATTTAAGCATCAAATGACAACAAGGGGGTTCTGCCTAACAGTGGAATTAAGATGCATTCCTCCAAGAGGCATGATTTTGAAATATAAGATAACTCATTTTAAAATAAACTTTACTGTAAAAGATTTATTGAACATTTATTCCATTAAGTTTATTAGTATAAAACTGTGATGAAGAAAAAAAAAACATCTGACCAGTAGGATCTGGACAGATTTTTCTCTGGGCAGGTTTTTTTCCCTTCCCTTTGAAGGCAATCCCAAACTATCCCCCACTTAATATACAGAGGAAAAATTCCTACAAACAAAGGCTGATAACATTAAAGGATATGCTCTTTATTTGCATATTTATTTGTTCAATTAATATGGTTACAATGCTGGTGAACTAAAACTAAAACTTACTGATTAGTTTCTAAAACTATAAAAAGCCAAAACTCTTAAAAGCCAAAACTCAAATTTAAGTAATGTTTCCCTTAAAACAGTCCCTTATTACTTCTGATATCAGGATTCTTTTGCACCCAAGTCAGGCTTCAGTACTTCAGTTTTCAAGACATTATCATAGTAAAATGGGCAGCTAATACATTTAATCAATCAATGGATAAATAAGCTCCCATCAGACCAGTCACTATTATTTCATGTGAACTGAAAGCCTTGGACCTCTTTCCTAAATTCCACTATCCCAGTGGAGTTAAAGAGAGACATGTATAACTATGGTCTCAGCAGATTAAAACATGTCACAGATTATGGGTCTGCAATTTTAGGAGACCCTGATTCTTACCAGGCAATGAAGGATTCCATCGAGATCTGGTGAGGTACTAATACCACTCTATAAAGCCTTAGTAAGACCACACCTAGAATCCTGCATCCAGTTTTGCTCACCACACTATTAAAAAGATGTTGAGACTCTAAAAAGAGTGCAGAGAAGAGCAACCAAGATGATTAGGGGACTGGAGGCTAAAACAGTTGCAGGAACTTGGCATGGCTAGTCTAGTGAAGAGAAGGATCATATTTGAGCGACTGCACAGAGAGGAGAGAGTCAAGCTATTTTCCAAAACACCTGAAGGCCAGACAAGGAACAATGGATGGAAACTGAAGAAGGAGAGATTCAACCTGGAAATAAGGATAAATTTTCTCACAGTGAGAGCCATCAACCAATGGAACAGAAGTTGCCTTCAGAGGTTGCAGGAGATTCATCACTGGGGGTATTCAAGAAGAGACTGAACTGCGATCTGTCAGAAATGGTGCAGGGTCTCCTACTTTAGAAGGAGGTTGGACTAGATGACCTACAAGGTCCCTTTCAACTCTGCTATTTTGTTATTTCCCAATTGGACCAACAGAACTTCCATCCAATCTTGATTCCATTTCATTGGCTTCAGTGCAAACCTGAAGTCAGGCTCTGGTTAACAGAATTGCCTTCATCTCTAATATTTGAAGACAAGGAACAAATGAACCTGAAGTTATTAAAGTGAAGTTCTTCAGCATATCAGGCCCTCTCTCACCAGTTTTAGGGTGATAAATTACAAAAATGGCAATGATTTATGTCCTAAATAATAATCACCCCAAATCTTATTTGAGATATAGCTGAATCATCTTATACCATTATTCAGCATTGTAGCATCTGAAGGATACTTTGGTCAATAGAAGAGAATCCTCCCTATCTGTCTAAGAAAATAATAAAAGTTTTACTCCCAC